TGTCCATTTGAAGCCATCCAGATTATCAACCTGCCGAAGGACCTGGACAAAGATACAACTCACAGATATGGTCCTAACACTTTTAAATTACATAGGTGAGTCAATTAATTATTTTTCCCTTAGAATTTGTGACTGTCTATTTTCTTTGGCTCGTGACTTGCTAAAATTAAAATGGCAGGTTGCCAGTACCAAGGCCAGGTCAAGTACTAGGGTTGGTTGGAACAAATGGAATTGGAAAGTCCACTGCTCTCAAAGTTCTGGCTGGAAAATTGAAACCAAACTTAGGCCGTTTCAATGTAATACCTTAATTCTGCATAGCGTTCCTATTTTTTTGTAACCTTTTCTGGCATGAATTAAAAAAAAAGTAATTCAAAATTAGCCTTTCCTTTCTGCATTTTTATCTAAAATTCTTGCTCACTTGTCACTACTCATTTCCCCCCTTTTTTCTTTGCAGAACCCACCTGATTGGCAGGAAATCTTAACCTATTTTCGAGGATCTGAACTGCAAAACTATTTCACTCGCATCCTTGAGGATGATTTGAAGGTGATTATTTTTCAAGTTTATGTTTTATGGCACTTGATGCACATATCTGTTCATGTTACTGTTTAATATGCCTTTGTGTTGGTAGTTAATTTTTATTGGCTGCTTTAAAGAATGAGTTATGCGTGCCTTTTCATGTCTGCGTTTATTTGTTTTTTAATTCAATCTTCTTATTGGCCAGTTATATGGTAGTAGAGATTTCATTTACAATTCTGTCATAATTTTTTAAATGATGAAGGGATGCAGTATTAACCCCCACTCACCGTGTCTGCTAATGTTTTAGGCATATGCCTTTTAATGAAGCAAATGAAGTGTGGAATTGTTATCTTGATTTCTTATTTTTAGTGGGTTGGTTGTATTGTGTAAAAGCTTTTAGCAGCCAGTTCAAATATTGCTAGCCTTGGTTATTGTGGAAAGTACTGGTTTGTTTTCCAGTAGCTGCAATTCGTTTTGTTATGTTAGTGTCATATTTATACTTTAATTATTTCCTGTTTTCTGATGGTTATTTTTTTCACAAATTTTACGTTTTCTGAGATGGCATCATGTATTGAAAAATTTCCACTTTGCTCATAGACGAAACTCAGTTCACATAATTAGTTCATTACCATTTAGATATGCTAGAAATAAGATGAAAAATTATGTTGTGCATGTTTTATTGGAAGCTTTTTGTGCGTCCGCGCTTGTATGTCTGTCTGTCTTCTGGAAACAGAAGTGTTTGAGGCTATCAGTAGTCCTTAGGAAGTTTTGGCCTTTAGGTGCTCTGAAAATCTAGCTCTAGCTTGCATCTGAAAGTAAATTGCTGGTGGTGATCTATTTAACAAATTTAAATGATCATTCGAAGGATTCCTTTCCCACCTTCAGCTGTTAAACCTAGTATTGGATTGAGACGTTCACCTATGCTTCTGAATGTGCATTCATTAAGCAGATGCTTACCTTTTCTATTTATTAGATAGAACATTGCTTCCTTAGATTCTTATTGATTACTAATTGTTTTGTACATTTATATATGTATATTATAAAACAGGCTATTATAAAGCCTCAATATGTTGATCACATCCCTAAAGCTGTACAAGGAAATGTGAAGGAGACGCTGGACCAGAAAAATGAGAGAAATATGAAGGAAGAACTTTGTAAGGATCTTGACCTAAACCAGGTTATAGATCGGAATGTTGCTGATCTGTCAGGTGGGGAGCTCCAAAGGTTTGCCATTGCAGTTGTTGCCATCCAGAATGCTGAAATATACATGTTTGATGAACCTTCTAGTTACCTTGACGTGAAACAGAGGCTGAAAGCTGCCCAAGTTGTTCGATCTTTGCTCAGGCCTAATAGGTCTTGTTTCCTTGTCTCAATAGTTCCTTGTTTAAATCTTGTCTATATTAGAATGTGGACTATTTTTATTTGTTGCTGAGTTGTCTGTACTTGCCTTTTTCCAGTTATGTAATTGTTGTGGAGCATGATCTTAGTGTCTTGGACTACTTGTCAGACTTTATTTGCTGTTTATATGGAAAACCTGGTGCATATGGAGTTGTTACACTTCCTTTCTCAGTCAGAGAAGGAATTAACATCTTCTTAGCAGGCTTTGTTCCAACAGAAAATCTGAGGTTCCGGGATGATTCTCTCACCTTCAAGGTAAATGTTAGCATTTCACCATACGTCACTCGTTTTATGCATGTAATTTTTATACTTTTTCTTTGCTCTTTTGATCTGTATAGGTTGCTGAGACTCCACAAGAGAGTGGTGATGATGCTCAAACGTATGCTCGCTACAAATACCCAACAATGACCAAAACTCAAGGAAATTTCAAGCTTCGTGTAGTTGAAGGAGAATTTACTGACTCTCAGATTATTGTGATGCTGGGTGAGAATGGGACAGGAAAGACCACATTTATTCGAATGCTGGTATCGCTTCGTCCTCTCATATTAATTTCTGTTGAGCTTTGATTTTTTCCCCCAGTATTTTTCCAGTGTCAAGTGTTTATGATTTGTGTTATATCGTATTCTCATCTTTTATGTTTTGCAGGCTGGTTTATTGAAACCTGACACCATAGAAGGTGGCTCTGATACAGAAATGCCTGAGTTTAATGTGTCATATAAGCCTCAGAAGATTAGCCCGAGGTTCCAGTCAACAGTCAGACACTTGCTTCATACAAAAATCCGTGATGCATATACACACCCGCAGTTTATCTCAGATGTGATGAAGCCACTTCTTATTGAACAGTTAATGGACCAAGAAGTTGTGAATCTTTCTGGTGGAGAGTTGCAAAGAGTTGCATTATGTCTATGTCTTGGAAAGGTAGATATTTTAAGCTTCATCGATGGGAAATTTCTTAGTTTGTTTTATGCTCCCTAATCAGTGTCCGCAGCCCCTTTTTACTTTTTCCTTCACATTCTCAACTGTTTTTTTTTTTCTGGGACGGTTATGTTAAATGTTGGGTTTTTTTTCTTTTTAACTGCTCATTGCATGATCACGATAGTGGAGATCATCTATGAACTGATGGAACTATTTTACAACATTTGGCTGAGCTTATTTCTGTCTCTAAAATGACTTTGACTTCAGTTTAAAAAAAAAAAATTATTGTTTGCTGATCTATTGCTATTTAATAACAGCCTGCAGACATTTATTTGATAGATGAGCCAAGTGCATATCTTGATTCAGAGCAGCGTATTCATGCTGCCAAAGTCATTAAGAGGTTTATCCTCCATGCAAAGAAAACTGCATTCGTGGTTGAGCACGACTTTATCATGGCAACATATCTTGCTGATAGAGTTATTGTTTATGAGGGGTCTCCTTCAATTGACTGTACTGCTAATTCGCCACAATCATTGTTGACTGGGATGAACCTATTCTTATCAGTAAGTCTCAACCTTTGACTGGTTCTTTTGAAAAGCAAATACTATATAATGCTGGTTGGCTTTATGATTTTTAATATACTGCTAAATATGTTTAACTTCAAATATTTGCATGCATGTTGCTCAATACTCATGTGGTATTCCTATCCTACCTTTCAAAATTTCACGAATGGGAAGCTGAAAATGTTTGGTTATACTAAAATTCCACTATTATGCACTTTGTACAGAGTGCCTCCGGCACCCTTGTCCAAGTGGCTCTCTCTTTTCTCATTGGTTTGTAGTAAAATGGATGTTCTTTTCTTTTTTTCCCCCAAGTACTTATGGTCTGTGCCTTTTCCTTAATAATCCGGCAGCACCTGGATATCACATTTAGGAGAGATCCTACTAATTACCGCCCAAGGATTAACAAACTAGATTCAACCAAAGACAGGGAGCAGAAATCAGCTGGCTCATACTATTACCTTGATGACTAAATTCATAGTTATGGACTGGTGAGCATCTTTCTCCAAATGTATTCATGAGTGCTTTGCATGGACACCTGGAACTGAATTTCTTTTCACCTCTTTGTTGCAGTTGCTCATCTTGCCAATTCAGTGAGCGGCCCATCGATTTGAATGGGATCTCAGCCTCCTCCGCTCCTCCAATGCGTTGAATATATGAGTGTTCTTTTGCCCATTTAAGGCGTAGCTTTGTCCATGCATTGAATAGCGTGCCTGCCAGCGGAATGTTGATTGAGGTTTTGGTATATGCTATTAAGCAGTGCACCTGCTTGTCACCAGTTTTGCCATGACATTTGTGGGAACCTGAATTTACTCGAGCTCATATTAGTCTTGCTTCTACTATATCAGGTCCAAAATTTAAAGGAGCAATCTTGATGTCGTGGAGCCGATTGCTACTTCTGTTTAGTTTACTATTATATTCTGTTCAGTTTATCAGACTTATACGCTCTTTGTTTAATTTGGATTTCGATTTTGATAATAAATTTTCTTCTCTGTTCAATCTTGATTTTTGATGCCAAATTGATTTGATTGCTTCTCTTGATGAGTTTAATATATAGCGAAGTATTGAAGGACTCTGCAGATCAATTGAAAGACTCCCTCCCATCTTTATTATAGAATATAGAATATTTTAAACCGTTTCATGCATTTTAAAAGAAAAGTTTTTTTTATATTATAAAAAAATAAGGTTTATTTTTATTATTTTTAATTTTAAATAATAACACAATTATATTAAATATCTTTACACTAATCAAGAAGAGATAAGATTAAAAAAAGTTTAATTATTACAAAATATTTTATATTTTGAATTAAAAATTACTTTCAAAATGTATCTTATAAATAAAATCAGGAGTAAGTGTTAAATTGTCCTGGCATCAGCATGTGCAGTTCAAGTACTAATAACATTCACAACCAAGAACAATGGTATTTGCTGTCCAGCCTTGTCTTTCTTCCTTTTCAATCTGGTCATCTCTTTTTGACAAATCGGGATTTTGAATGTCTGAGACAACTTGCATTATTTCTATATGGTTTTACAAAACAACACTTGACAATAATTTGGAAACATAAAAAATTGAAGACGGATCTCCTCATTATGACAATTGTAAAAGGATGTAGAGAAAATGTACACAATCAGACTTGCTCATTAAAGCATCAACAGTGTAGCCAAGAGCTCTCAATTCCAATCGCTATATGGATAAAGAAAAAGAAAACGTTAATACACAACATGGGAAACGCTGGTTCTAAACGGAAAGTAATTCAAAGGCTAGAACAAGGATTTGCGCACCCTTATACACTATTCTAATCTGCTTTTTGCCCCTGATACAAAGTCAAAATTTTGCTCACTATTATTGCACAATGATCGCTTAGTCACATCAATGGCTTGCCTAGAAATTCCGCCGTTCTTGCAAAGTAGAAACCCAGCTTTCTATGTTTCCTCAGTGGTCGCAGCATCTTGAGCGTTTATTAGGGGTCTCACCAAGGTGGGCGATCATCCCCAGGTGATTGAGGAGGGATTGGTTTCCACCCAGGCTTTTCATCCCAGTACATGTCATAGTATATGTGACCAGGATTGTGTTCCATCACACAGCACCATATTCCCACATACCGCTTGACACGTTTTCTGAATTTATCTTCTCTTTTCTGCAGATCCAGTTTTGAACGGCACCATATTGTAAGTTAGTAAAAAAATTCTGCTCATCTTTGATGCAAAACTCAAGAGTAAGTAACAGAGCAAGATAAATAGGCTTGCCTTGTCAGTGAAACCTGCAAAAGCATCTTGCATTGAAGAGAACTGGATGACTTTCAAATCCTTGAACGATGAGAATACTTTCATGAGCTGCAAATCGAAGAAGAAACAATCATGTCCAATAAAACTTTTCAAACAGATGTATATTACCCATAGAGCAACAGAGAGTTTGAAGCGCTCCATATTAACTTGAGAGTCTGGGGGCAGTTGTCATTAATTATAAGCCTATAACCAACCATAACTTACCACAGACACTTGGTACTCCTCATGGACATTTGTTGAGAGAATTTTAAATAATCAAATATCATTTCAATTTTGGCATCCTGGGAAGGTAAGTACTAACCACCCTTATAGGCCATGCAAACAAAATGATCCAAAAGTAACTTTAGAGGAAATCCCTACAGTCCTAAGGGAGGTTTTGTCTAGAGATACTCCTGGGCCTTCTTCCCCCTATTGATGTTTAAGTTTTTGTTCCACTGGCCTTAGTCCCTCTTGCGTTATCCCCCCGGGGGGAACAGATCCAAAACTACAATCATTTTCAACTCCAAATAGGTCCTCGGCCCAGCATGATAAGAAAACAGGGAGGTTAAGTTTAAGACAGTTTGAGGTGCATCGACAATTGATTCTGACAAGTAAAACTAATCAAAACTACATGAAAGAAGTCACGTAAATCAACTAGAATCCTTGGTCGACTTATTTAATTAACACTGCATTCAGATATCATGCTCTACAAAAATATTTGTTGGAGTTTAATTTTTTAGACATTGTTTTTTTTTTTTTGCTATCAATTACTTGTTCTAAAAGTCTTTTGGGCCACTAAATATATATATACATATAATCTATTAATATTGACATTGATGTTCAAAAATTATAGATGGATGAGAAGAATGTTTTGCCCATTACAGCGTTTAGTTGACATTAGTCCAATGAATAGTAAGACACCGTAGAAGTAACTTGATCAACCTTCCCAACCCAAATATCAAAACCCAAAAAAAAAAAAAAAAAATCCTATATTAGTACATGAACTGATCCCATGGACTTTGGAAAACGTTTTCAAATTATGGCAATACCTACCTAGCTAGAATATTCACAATAGTTAACTTGGAATAATTGAACCAAATGGGAAAGGAACCTATCATTCTACAATTGTTGGAACATTGTCCTTCATCTTTCAGGATAATACAAATGCAGACCGATAGAACACTTTTTGTAGACAAAATTGCTTACCATCTAATATCCTGGTTTTCTGAGTTCTCCAACCAGCTCCTTACTAATGATGATAATATTTACTTGCTACCTCGAGGTATTAAAGGGGATATTCCATACAATTTTAATCAAATCAACTTACTTTACAGGTTTAATTTTGAAAATGAGCAGAAATAAGTGGGTGGTATGGGTTTGAACAGAATTTAGTATACCGTCTCATCATTGCTGTGCTTTGGAAGCCTAAGTACCCCCCCAACAGTGGTAGCATTTGATGCATCACAATCTGGGGTCCCCTCTTTACAGAGATTAACATCAAGCCAAGACTTCTTCACCTGAGCTCAAAGAAACCGATAAGCAAGTTCTCACCAAGTAAGATAAATCCAGAAACAAGATCCAGTAATTTGGAATTTGACTTAAGTGAGTGACAATCATTTACCTCTGAGGGCATAGAAGGATTATCAAGAATTGAGTACTCTCTGATGCCTATACCTGGGCCATACTCTTCCTCTGGGAGTGCCTGCAACATGACATTCACCTGCAATAAAGTGCATTCCTATGAAGCGCAAGGCAATGTGAGAGACAACTTACGCATGCAAATAAAGAAGAGAAAAGGAAAAAAGGGGGGGAATGGCAACAGACTAACAGATCACACTAAAAAACTTCCAATTGTTCAAAGATTTCTTGGAGTTACTTTTCAAAAACTGAAGGTTTTGGGGGTTGCTTTTCAAATGTGCACTTATAAGCTGCTCATGTTTCATTTTCTTTGGCAGACCCAAAACACATAAAGCTTTTTTTTTTTTTTTTAAAGAAAATTACAGTGAAATATGTTGTATTTTTTTTTTGAACTCAGACCAAGTTTTTTCTAAATTGTTTTATCACTGCAACTACAATTATGATAAACCTTTTTTATGAACATTATAATTATGTCTCTTACTGATCCTAATTTACTGTCTCATGAGACCAACATTATGGATTTTATTCTTCAATTGGCTATGAAACCATGCTGAACTTATTTAAGAGGGACAGTTAGTTCAGTGCCCAACTGAGAACACTGTCCTTCAGACGTAAAATTTCCACAGACGAAGCAAGTGGCAATACGTCATCACAATTCACCTGTCTTACTATTTTGGATTTTGTGATATGAAAACATGCTGTGAAAATCATTATCAGGTACTAATATCCAAACTTCTACAATGTTCCAGATGCAATCAAGAATGACAATCATATGGAATCACCTCATCAAACAGGAAATACCTCAAATACATGGTCCAAAGGACAAAGAAAAGGCTGTCTTGTCATAGACCCCTCCAAAGTACCAGGATGAGGAAACCATAGCCTATCAACTCTGCACCATAGAGGAGGCATGACCTAAACACAAAGAAAACAGTTTAAGATCAAAATATAAAGCTTTAAATAAATATGCATAGTCACTAAGCACCACTGACTCAGCCAACTGGGCCTACCGCAGGTGTAAATTGCAAAACTAAGCACCAAAACAAATTATATGGCAACTTGTAAGGCCAACGTAAGTGATAGTCTAGCCTGTTTTTAATTGCATGACTGCCAGTAACTTTCAGCAACGAGAAAGCAAACTTCAAACATTCTTGGCATACATCAGTTACAACTTTTTGAAAGGAAATAAAGGGGAAGGAGAGGTGGGGGAGTGAGCAGCGAAGATCAGTTGTGGTATGAGACATCTAATTTCATTTGAATCCAACAAGGCCTCTGAGGTGAAAATAATAATTACAGACAGGGTTTATTTCTATGCTTCGCAGGTGGAAATCCTAGGTTATTAAAAGTTTGTGCTTAAGATTACAGTCTCTGTATTCTGACTAACATGTAATGAAATTGAAATTTGATTGGGAAAGTTCACAATCTGTTATCCTATGTCACAAAAATATAGATGTACTATTACTATTAACATCCTTTTAGTTAATTTACGCAAACAATGCAATTGCATTGCACAAGTGTGGAGTAATATAAAGTAACTTGTCGGTGCTGAACTCCAATATTAAGGATTTTACTATATAGTGACCCTTGTCTAAGAAATATTGAGCCTAGAAAAAGGTATCCTTCGTACCATTGGCAAATATTGGCTGCTTCACAGAGAAATAGTACTTAACAGCTGTACCTATGATGACAGTTAACCACACTGACGAGACAAAATGCAAATCAAGAAGTAATGTAATAAGCATTTAAGTTTCCAGAAAGCAGTTCTCACCAGTGTTCTGTTCAAAAGATAAGCAATAGCAAGTGCCGTCCTTATCTGTTTTATCTGGGAAATTTCATGTACAAAAAGATTGCAAGATGCAGAATTACTTTTCCATTCAATTGCAGAAGTAAAAAGAATTAGGTCAATACATACATACTTGATAGTTAACAAGAGAAAAATGCGATTCCAGAGTATGGGTCCCGCTTAGCAACATGTGCTTTGGGATTGATGGCTTGAATGACAATAAACCCCCTGCAAAAGTTCCTCCCATAAGTTAGTTTGTGGGATTATCATGCAAGGGAGTACCACCCATGAGAAGATTCAGCATTCAAGTGCATGGACACATTGAAGTGTCAACTTCTGTCTTCAGTATTTCATCGTGATATTAGCTCCAATGGAGGATGAATAGAAATCTTTCATACAAGATATACGGAACAAGTGATGATAAATAGTGAAAATGAGTGTATTTATACATTCATGTAAGGAATAATTAAGTGGTGTGCATTTATAAACTGGGGAAGAAATGAAAAAATAATTACCAGGTGGATTATAGTATGTTGGTGGATCATAGAAGGCCATGGCTTCTCGAAGTCGATGGCGCTTTCCTTCTGTGCCTGCAAATTGAAATGTTGTGTGCACTGCATAGGGCTCCAATCTGAGTTGCTGGTACATTGCCTGCAGTTCGAATGCACAATGAAATTCTCAGAGCAAACTTGTTGGCAATCTAATTTTCTCCAAGGATGTAGCCATTTTTTGAGAGAAATGGAAAGGACGAGGGAGGAGAGAGCTTTCAGTGGAAAGATGATTGTAGGCAAAAAGGAAGAAGTTTGCCATGAAACAATTAAGAAAGGAAAGGAATGTGTCAAAGCAGCCAAATGACATGAATACCCGTAACTAAAATACTTGAGTTGAGTCTCCAAAATTATGGGCACCATTTCATTATAAAATAGAAGGCTAAAATTTTAAGAATTTTAAAATTTATATAAAATAACACTTAATAATTATAACCATAAAAAACCACTAAATAGTCCTACATTCTACCTGGACAAAATATGTATGTCCACTACAAAATATACTTGCAGGCAAAATTCCCAGCTTCAGATTTCCATCAAACGCATAAACAAGTCCACTGTCCTCATCAACAGGAGGTCCTAACTGTTTGCGCACAATGTCATTAAATCCATTTTGATCCCATATCTTATCATCAGCTAAAAGCATTTTTTTCCATTCCTTTGCCAACTTTTTGGCAGAATCTGTAGGTCTCCAATGGAAAATTCCAATATTGTACGCAGCACCAGCTATTAAAAAAGACGACAGAGCAGTACTGTCAGTATGAAATAGGGTTTTATCAAAGAACAGTTAAGCAAGCACCATGATATGCAACATACAATCAAAGATGAGAGAAGCAATAAATAAGAATATTGATTAGTTACTGATATTGTAAAATAATAAAAGAAAAATACGGGGAAAGGGGTTGTGGTTTGAAGGTCACACATTCAAAGTATTTTGCTGATCCTTTGTGCTATCATTACCATAATAATAACATTCTCCTAATCTAAAGCCATAAAAAGATGGCAACAAAGCAATCTTAAGGGACAATGGAAAACTGAATCCAACATGAAAGGTGATTGATATTCAGAAAAGGAACATTTAATATTCATGTCCACAAATATCACTTGACTTCCAAATGTAGGTTAAAATTGGTGTACAATTAATAAGGATGGAAATAAGAGTACTATAAGAACCAAAAAGCAAAAATGACAACGGTGATTCATCTCATTTTATGATCCACCTTCTTGCCAAACCTCCAGGCTATCATCAACCACAGTTGGTACAACTTGATCACTTGAAGTTAAAACATCTGCCCCTGGATAACGAGCAAGATATGGGAGTGGGTCCTGTCCAACAATATATTTGTAACATAAATGTCAGGATTAACAATGATAACATAATAGGCTAGGAACATTTCAAGAGATGATCGTGAAAAATAATGATACATAATGAATATAACAGTAAAGATCATAATAATGACATTGGAAGATCAAAAGAAACAATACTAAAGAGGTTTTAAGAGCCAAATGGTGTTACAGCAAGCTGAAAAAGGAGTTGTGCAAATCTCTGATAAGTAAATTACATACGCAATAGAGGGAGGAAACAAGAAAAAACTATGGTCAATATGCATTCTGCTGTTCCTTTTGAATAATCCATTCACCAACAAACTAAGTGAGCAGATGAAAAAACCTCACAATTAAAATGACTTAAAAGAAAATATACATAGAAATGGCAGTGAGCACCTTAAACCAAACCATGTCAGTATCACACATCAACAGCTCAAAACCATAAGGCAAGATTGAGTCTATCAAAACAACTTTTTCTCTCCCCATTTTATGAAATGTTGGAGATCCCCAGCCAACATCTACTGTGCTCATGTGACTGCCCATGTCAAAAACTGGTATACCCTTCCAATACAATGCCTCCAATAATTTGGTGTCCATGGCACCTGAAAGGGTAGATTTCATACTCATTTTACACAGTCTATTGAACAAGTTAGGTTAGTCTAACAAGGAGTGATAAAAAATATACACATCTGCATCATATAGAAAGATAGAAAGATTAATGCTCACCTACAAGAAGATTAGAAAGTCCCAGATCTGTTAAGTGTTTAACCCAAGTCAGAATAAAATCCATGAATGCATAGTTACCAAAGGTCACTATTATGATATTATCCTTCACCCTTTGCTGAACCAACTCTTTGGTCAGTCGGAAAGCCTTCAAAGGGGGCATCTTTTCATTCTGTGGTGGAACTTCCCAAATAGGTCTTTCCCACTTATTTGGTGGCCCTGGGGCAGAATTTGGCACAGCATGTGTTATATCTGGCTTTAAAAAGTCAGGCGTTTGATCTGTAAGTCGTTGATGCTCCTCTGAAAAATTATGTTCCATTAAAGTTCAAAAATGCATCCATAGGGAAGAAACATATGGATTGATGAATTGGAGAGTGCCTTCACAAACTGAGAAAGATAATTAACAAGCAAAAGCTATATCAAAGCTACTACCCACATGTAAAGCGGGTGCACTGAATGACAATTCTCACCCACATTAAATCAAAAAGTAAAAATGATTACTATAATGATTAACTTAACTGTTGAAGTACGCTGTCAGCAAAACTGAAACGCACTCATTCCAGCAACATGTATTAGGAATCATCTCCAAAAGCATGAACTTGAACACAAGGACAAAACAAAATCTGATACAATGTCCAACTCACGTCACACACGCACACAGCTACCTCTTGAATTGTTAGAGGTTTATAGCTTATAAGTTTGTTGGTCAAACCATCTTAGCCATAGACATAATCTGTCTTAAGACAGCGAAGAATGATTATATCACATCACAATTGAAATGAAGAACATTCTTGCTTTCTGTCTCAAGCAGAAATTTGATAAAGCATCCAGAAGAACTCCACAATCAACAGTATTTAAAGTGTCATCCTTCAATTTAAGAGTTTAGCTAATACTCTACACTCCATTTTGAACAATCCACACCACCTCCAGTTCTATTGTCCTTGAATATGGGAATAATATACGAAAATTAATTATGACTGCAAGAGATCACCGTGGAAGAAAACATCCATGAGACAGTTGTTATTTGAGGACGAAATATTAGGAGCTAACTTAAGCACCAATTTTTCATGTTCACCTAAAGGGGTACAGTCCATTTAAAGACTAATTCATTAATGTTTTCCTATAAGATCCATTTACATTCTCCTATCATATTGCGGAGTAGCCAGTTGTAGTTTTCAATTCAATGGGTACTTCACTTGCAAGCTAACAATACCAAGCGCATGAAGCACAACAAGAACAGGCAAACCTTTATGCATCCAGGAAGAAGAAGCAAGCATTACAGTGAAAAGCGTAAAGCAGTGGACCAGGAAAAAACGTACCCGAACCCGGAACGAGGGGGGAAGGAGAAGAGAGCCAGCCAGAAGCATCACCAGCGGGCTTGCTCGAATATATGGCGGAGAAGACATACAAGGACGAAACAACGATGCCAACGACCACAGTTGTGTAGATCGTCAAGAACAGAGGCTTCGAATGAGCCACATCGTCGCACGCATTTCTCCAAGCCATACCTCACGATCTTTCTAGATATGCCCGCGTTCTGTTTTCTTCCAATCAAACATCACATGAAAAGAACCAGCTCCAGTTCCTGTATTTTCGCCGCCATGTAGCTTCTTCGACAGCACGAGGAGGAAAATGGCCAAATGGAAAGAAATCCAAATGACAGATTGAGAAAGGTGGGTATCAGATTATCAATTAGCAATTGAAAAGCGCAAAGAGGCCAGGTCTCACCAGTGCAAGGTCAAACTAGTAAGCTGGCCTCGCCGGAGCATGACCGTGCCACTTGGCAAACGAATCTCAACTAGACAACTACTACAGAATTGGATGGATCATTATAATAATGTTTACATCATGTTCTCAGTTTTAAAACCAGCTAAATCAACATTTCTGGTCAAAAAACCAAGCTAAATGACATTATCAAATGAAGAATTGACTTTTCATTTACCCCAAAACCAAAAAAGAGAAAAAAAAAAAAACACACACTCACAAAAACACAAACACAAGGAAATTCTCTCTGTAATACTCGGTCCGTCCATCTCTATATATGAAATGTTTTGGATTAAATTATGTAAATCAATAAAAATTAATTATTTAATTAAAAGTATAACATTATTTTAATTTTATCTTTAATTATTATAAATAAAAAATAAATATTTTTAAAATAAATTAATAAAAGTACTTATATTTTTACTAATTTAATAAAAATATAATAATTTATTTATTAAAAAAATATACTAACAACTTCTTATATTTAAAAATAAAAAAATTATAAAAAAAAAATCTCTTACATATAGGACAGGGAGGGTAAGCCTTACCTCCGGAAAGAGAAATGCATGAGAAAACAATTTGCATCGACGCCAAAGAACGAATGAATGTGAGAGCTCATAAATAATAATAAAACAAAGGATTAAATGTAAATATAATTATTATTAATGTCATGCATAAATCTGCTCAATTGCATCGTTCTGGGATCCAGCATCTCATTTTTACCAGCACCGAACTTCGTCTGAAATTATTGATGATGATGATGATGTTATTATTATTATTCATTAATCTATGGTGATGTAATAATTTACATAATAACAAAATTATAGGCCTTGCCATTATTTAACTATTTCTTCAGAGTTCAGATCTACTGCACCCTCCCATGGATCAAACTCCTCGCAAAAACATATTAATGCGGATTCACACCACATATATATATATATATATATATATTATGAAGATAATGGATGCTACATCACATGTGATAGTTGTGTGGCTGTAGATGAGCTATTGGGCTACTATCCCTAACAGACCAATCGGAGAGATCATGTTTTTTTTGTACATGAACAATTTTTCATGGGCTTTTGAAAATTGACTTGGTGTTCATTTTCATTATACGTGGGCTTCAAGTGCAAAATTCTCTGTCATTTAGGAAGCAGAAAGCCTGTATATAATGGGCTCAGAAGTCCATATCAGGGTATGGTCTAATACAGTCTACACCTAATATTGGGACTCTATTTGATTTTGTTTTCTTTTTTCTTTTCACGGCCATTATGACAAAATTTGATTTTCATCCATTATCTTTATGCAATTATTTATTTTTATTTTATGTGCAAAAAAATCATATACTCCCTCCTTGGTCTACTTTATTGGTCATATTCTAAAAAAGTGAAGTGATCCACTTTATAAGTCATTGAATTAATAGTAATATTTTATTTTAAATAAAATGTCTAAACTACCCATAAAAGGTAAAAGAGAGAGAAATAAAAAAATATTATATTTTTTATTTATTTTTGAGGATTATGTTTGTAATTTTACTAAATTTTATTCTTTATACTTTTATTGTATTAATATTGATGAGATTGGTATAAATGAATTATAAATAAGACTATGATAAATTATAAATAAGACTAAAAAGAGTACAGCTTTCTGCTATTATTGTATTTTAGAGTTGGATATATAATATTATAATATCAAATTTAATTTAAAAATATAAATAGGTTTTCAAGTATGACTCTTATAGGCAAAATCAATAAGATTCAAATTTAAAAATGATTAATTTTAGGATAAAAAGATTTTAGGCTTGAGCCCATATGAGCCTGTCCATTGTCCAGCTATAACTAGCAATCAATCCACCACTCTATATAAGAGGAACCATGGAATAAGTAACTTATCTCCATCTTATATACGTGATTATAATATATATATATATATATATATATTCTCTCCTATTAGCCCAACGTTATTAATATCCTTTTAGCTGTAAATGGGAACAAAAACAGTCACTTGATTGCATGAATTAACGAGGCAAGTTATCGTAAAAAACATGAATGAATAAAACAATTGCATGTCTAGGAGCAACTCAAGTTGTTAGTTAATAATGTAATTAATTCACTGTCACCAGAAAATTTTGAAGCAAAAAGAGTCACGAGCCAGAGTCTCCGAAACAAGTCTAAATTCAACCACTTGTGCATTAATATAAAAATCTATATGATTTGTTTGAGCTAGCCTTCATGACTAGAACCAGCAATTCAAAGCCTAGTGGAACTTGTCTTTATTCGACTAAATAAATATATAAATAATTTGGGACCGCTCGAAATTTTATTTTATCTGATCTCATTTTTTAATGTATCACATAAATGTACATAACTAATAAGTCAAACTCTATGCCTTTTGCCAGGCCAATTCTTAACTAGTTGCTTGGACATGTATGCATGGTTTTTTGTTTTTGTTTTTTTATTTTATTTTTAAGCTTCATTTGTAAAATAATGCTGCATAGAAGCTACACTTATAGCTACTCAGTGATATGTATAAAATATTATTGCACATGATCCTAGATAAAGCCACGGTATAGCTACATAGAATATTAACTATGTTGAAAAATATCTAAAAAATAATAATGCTTCCAATTTCTGTGCCATCAATCGGGTGGCATTGATGTATCCTGTAAGCAAATGAAATAGAAAATTAATTTTATAAAATAATTCGGTCAATTTATTCTTGTTATTTTGTTTGTTTGTTGATCAAGTGGCATCATTTTAAACCCCCAGCCTAGTCAGAATTAACTAATCCTTGGGTTCATCCTGTTTCGATTATAACAATTCACAACTCTTAATTAATAAAAAATGACTTGGAAAGAATATATTATATTGCATAATTCTTATTTAATAATAGAATGTGTAGATAAATAAATGCATGCACAAATTTGTAACTTACGGATGAGTAAACTCATCTTCTCATTTACTGTAGAGAGTCTCTCAGATACATAATATATAATATTCATGATTTATAAATAGCATCTGCATGATAAGTTCAGTTGTTCAATTACATGCTGAAATTACATTGTCATACTAATATTATCAGTCGAATTGTAATTATAAATTAATTAATTAAATTATTGTGTCAATGTAAATCTAATGGAAAGAAATTGATTTTGGAAAAAAAAAAAAACAAAGCTCATCAAGCTATTATTACTCCATCCTATCCATCAATGAAAATTTTAATCAAGATCCAATTAATTAATTAAATCTTATGAATGAATTGTTATAGTTGTAATGTACTCTTGAGCAGAACCCAATATAAACCCTACTATTCACACATGTGGTTTCTTATAACTTTTATAAATATATTAATAATATTTATAATTAACTAATTCTCTTAATTAGTTGGAATATGCTTAGCCTGTTGGCTATGAATTTTTATATTACTTCTGTCAAGTCCTTAATGCAACTGGCTTTGTGTTGCATTGACCAGTCACTTAAGAATAAAATGAAGCTCACTGTCAGGAGGATGCTTCTTAATCCCCTCAATAAATTATGTGTTTAATTTTATATACAAACTAGTACATAGCAATTCAATTTCATAATACAAATATTTATGTAAATTACGGTTGTACCAATAATGTACTTGAACGTGTACATATCCGACTAATTAAATGGAAGCACGTGTCTGTGGTTGCACCTTGTAAGTCAAAAGTTGTTTATTCATAAAGTATTTATAGTTTGACCGAACTAGGATTGATAATTAGTAATTAATCAGTTTCCAGTTTCTTTACTTCATAATTTAAATTAATAATTAAAGTATTCTACTGAAAATAAATATTAAAAATTATATACATGAATATTTTTGTAAATAAAAATTAAATAGTTTTATTACGGAGTAGATGGATTGATTTTGTAAATTTTACTCCCTCCGTTTGAAAATATAAAATATTTTTAACTAAATTCTATATTCCAATAAAGTAGTTGTTTATTTTTAAATTAATCTTATTTTTATATATTTACCCCTATTAAATATTCTATAATAAATATAAAGTTATTATCAATAAGGGTGCTTTAAAAAAAGATAATGATTATATTTCGAAAGATTAAAAATACCTTACATTTTTAAATATTTAATTTTTTAAAAAAAATTTATATTTTTAAAGGGAGGGTGTAGTTACTTGAATTGTAAAAAGGTGTATAATTTCTCTTTGGCAATAGTATCACTGCTTTCTAGCTGCAACACTTTTTTTTTTATTGCTGTAAAGGTTTGCTATAAAGCAATAAACTATAATTTTAAAAGTAAAAAGATTGAAATTGAAATTAAATATGAAGGATTCAAATATATTGCTATACCAACCCTACTTATGCTACAGCGTATTCATAAATCAGTTGGCCAGAAAAAAGCACAAAATCAAGAAAAAGCTTTGCTGGAATATTTAACTATAATTAATGTCGGCTTATAAATTAACTAATTAAGATATAAATTATAGAGCAACTAGCTAGGCTTTTCACCATGGATTATAGCCAGAGCATGCAGGGTGGAAGAAAATAAAAAATGTGATGAAACAGAGAATTACTTTGGTGATTTAATGTTATTAGAGAATATGAATTTGTTTGATGATGGATTAACACAAGACGCAGAAAAAAGTGGGCTGGTTTTGAAGAGTGGCTTACACCCTGAAAGTTGTAAATCAAGATACAAAAATAATAATTATAGCAATGTGGGGGCATGCTGGAATATTATAGAATATTATGATTTATTCATTTCTTTTTTTTTTTTCCCTTTTCCTCTCAATCTATCCCAATCCCATCCCCTCTACTTCGTACTGTCTCATTCATTGCCAGAAGAATAATATAACTTGCAAGTGACACCAGATTCAGCTTTGACTCCATTACGCGTTATAGTATTGTTAGTAGTAGCAGTAGTATTGTTATTATAAAAAATTAATAATCCAGTCTCTATACTTTTCACTGGATTGTAACTTAATTTTTAAAATTTAATTCATTACCACTTAATCTCTATAATTCTATTTATTTCAAATTATAGTATTAAAATTTGGGTCAACCCAACCAATTGAATAAGTGAATTATTGAACTAGTGTCTTGAATG